ACACAGTTCATGAACATGCACATGCACACACACAAACTACAGGGAGACCAAACAGCCTGGGGCAGCGCTTTCTCTCTAATCTGATATCAAAGACAGCAACGTTTTCAAAGAGTTTCATATGACAGCTAATTTTGCGCTTAGCCCGCAGAAATGATTTATTGCCATAAATCTCTTCTCACACTTTGCTCAAAGCGTTCTGCTAGCAACCTTTCTGCCTTGCAATATGATTCCTCTCCTCAGAAAAAGAATCTGCATTAATGTCAGTGTTAAAGCATCAGCAACAACAAATAACGTGATATCACTTGCTCATTAGGATTCAACAGAGCTACAACAAGCACGAAAATAAGAAGAAAAGATCGATTCAAAGAAATAGCAGCTGAATCATTGTGGTGGGACAGGGACAGGGACAGGGACATAACTGTAACATGGCAGTGATTCAGCACAAGGTGTCATCAGTGACTCTACAGTGACTTAGTAACGACTTAGACATGGATTCACATAGTAACTCATCAGTTTTGGACCACTGATTTAACAAGTCGGGATAAAAATTACAGGAACAGAAGTGACAACAGTGGCGCTTTGGCCCAGAGGCAATGTCTCTGTCATTGGTGTGGAACCCCACGGTTCACCTTCAGGGCAAGATCGAATCCCGGTTAGCGCGGTTGGTACCTTCCAATGGGAACTAATACTAATGAAATACCTAATAACATGTATAAGTTGCTGCCACCTAGTGTCTGGAGGCTTGTTATCATTCAAGCATTACAGCAGTGGTACACTTTGTCTACTATGTCCAGCGTGCCATATTCCATTGGAAGACCTTCATGACACCCCCCCCCCCCGGCCTGCCCCCCCCCCCACACCACCCCCCCAACCACCAGGGGGCCTGCCCCACTATTTGGGACAATCTGGTCTAACCGCATTTGTTCACTTTTGGATTGAAATAACATTCTGTAATGAGACAAGAATAAATCTTGATGTTAGCAAAAAAAAAAATTTGAAACAGTTTTGGGTCATAGCTAAAAGAGAATTACACCAGATGCCCTTCTTAACACAACCATATCCACTAGATTCAGAAGTTGGGAAACAGATGTATCCGACTCAGGTTCCCCTGTATGGCAGGACCTTGGCCATAATATAAATAGTTTATGAAACAGGAGTCAAATCTATAAGCTGTGAGTGGATTTCAAATGCTTTATCCTAAACAACCAAAACCAGATTTCTATTAAACACCAACATAAACACAGGTAAATGACACAGGTAAATGATCCCTTCACTGCATTATGCCTGAGTGTGAAGGTGGTTTGCGGGGACCTCAGTGACCTGCAATGTGTCAGAGAAAGATTAATCCTGCCTCCAGGTGGCGCAGAGATGCAAGCTGAACGTTATGACAGATGCGGTGGAGAAACGTGGCTGTTTTTAAAGTTCACTGATCTAGATAAAGGAATAAGGAACTGAGGTCTGCCCTCAGTAGGGCGCCCTCAGGTGTGTGTTGGTGTATACAAAGTTCTGTGCGTGCATGTGCATGTGCGCTGAGTGTGATTAACAGAGAACATTGTTGTTTTAATTTTGTTTTAATTGTCGTCTTTATCACCCAACACCCAAACAAAAGGACTATTGTGTGTGGCATTTTAATTTCTGTGGCATCAGCTTAACGGTCCAACATTTTCCATGTCTCTGCAGCACGGTGTGTGTGTGTCTGTGTGTGTTTGTATGTGTGCTCGTTGCCAGATTTATTTATCTGATTTGAAATCAGCCCTCAAACTAACTAATTGGTCCAGTTCCACCATTAGGGAACAATGGGAAATAACAAATTAAGCTGTAACGTGTGTGTGTGCGTGTGCTTGTGTGTGGATGTACAGTATGTACATGAGGTTCAGACACTAATCACAGAAACTGTTCAAATTGTTACAGTAGGTTCGAGAATTTCCTCTAAATCCAGACTCTGGCGTAATTTTTTTTCCCCCTTTGTTTAATCTAGATTATGATTATGTAGATTGAAAAAAAATAATGTGAATGACATTTTAGTGACTTTAAACCCACATATCTGTACTTCCTTGTTTTTTTTAAAATCCCTTAACAACTTTAATCTAGATTATGATTATGTAGATTTAAAAAAAATAATGTGAATGATTGTAAATTCTTTACACTGGGAACCCTTTTTTTAATCTTGCCTATCTGCAATTATATTTATAGGCATTTAAATATTGACATTTTAGTGACTTTAAACCCACATATCTCTCTAAGTCTTTATGTTTCAGTGTTGACATTATAAAATAAATCAACAATCATTTCTAAATGTTTTATTCATATGGTCAAGAATCTATATCGTGGTGTCAAATTCATTATGATTCATGGGCCGCATACAAGTGGGCCTGACCAGTACAATCACAACATGATTAACTATAAATAACAATACGTACCTGTTTTCCCCTTTCATGTAAAGAAACACAAGTATTATATTATATATTTTTTATATAGTGTATTTTTTTTATTTCAAAATTAATCAAGCAGGCCAGATTGAACACACCAGCGGGGCGGTTTTGGCCCGTGGGCCATATGTTTGACACGTCTGAGCTCGATGAAGAATTGAAGCATTAAAAAAAAAATGTCACTGTAGTCATGAAATATTATATATACAAACAAATTTAGACCAGAATGTCTCCATTATGAGCAGTAAAAGTGTTATGTTTCAATTTTAAAAGTTGACTCGAATACTTAAAACTCATCTGCAGAGACAGAAAATGAACTCCTGGACAACCGGCATCCCCTCCATTACCATTCCAGTCAAATCCTCTTTTCTATTTTGAATATGTTTTCTGTGTGAAAACGCAGCTCATTTCCCGAACTCTCCTTCTCCCTCTGCTCTTGTAACATTCTCCGAGCCCTTGGTGAGCAACTGCACTGTTTCCTGGACTGGACTTCTATCGCTTTGATATTAGTTGTCTCAGAGGATCTCTAAAGTGTTCTCAGAGGACTAAGCTGTGAAAAGTCAAGAAACCCTGGCTGCGAACCCCAAATGACACTGCTGTTTGGAAGCAAATTGCTGCCGCTCCAGTTTCATTTTACACATTCTAAAAAAGACACCATCGGTAAAAAAGCAGTTTTTTAAGTATTATGTTATGTTTGTACTGTCAGAAACGGAGCAGCGCGGCCAGCATATTGATTGACGGGTGCAAGAGATGCTCTTTAGGGAAAATATTGCAGTGGTCCAGCTGCAGGTCTGAGGACGAAGGTCAAAAGGGTCCAGAAAAAAACAAGAACAATTAGATCCTGGGGAACCACACTGGTAAGGATCCAAGTCACAGAAACCAGGGGATACATATGAATTAGATCCTGGGGAACCACACTGGTACGGATCCAAGTCAGAGACCAGGGGATACATACTGTATCCAAGGCAAGGGTGGCATTGGTTCTTTATCACACAGGCCAAGATGCACTATCAATCTCTCCCGGACACTACTAAGAAATACATTATTATATGTTCGCACTGTGAAGGTTCCAGTTCTGTAACTTCAGAAGTGCCAAAGTGTTATTTAGAATTTGTAAAAAAAAAAAAAAAAAAAATCGAACTCAGCATAACTACTTTTACCTATAATACATCTCGTGAAATTGTTCCTTCAAATTGAACTGTATGCACAAATAATAAAATAAAATTTTATTAGTACTAATTAGGCCTCACGACACGACACAAATATGTTTTTGACTTCTCTTACTACAGGCTCAGGTCAGGTCACAGTACTGACACCTAACTAAGAACACTCACAATTAGTCTACGCTCCTATGTTACCATGGTTACTAATAGTTTCAATAGTCGAATCCCACCGATGCCAGCAATGTGTCTTCCTGTGGTTCCATAGTGTAGCGGTTAACGTGCCTGCCTTACACAGAGCAGGTAATCCTGGGTTCAATTCCCAGAGGAAATGCATGTTCCTAATGGCGCCTCCTGTATGGCAGCCTTTGTCGTTTGCGAAGACTCACACTGTAAATTTCCCCATTGTGTCCCATTAAGGGACTCAAGTGTAATTACTGAGTGTGCTTGAAAGAAAACAAAAGAAGTTCTCATTAATTCTCATCGAGTCAACCCAATCCAAATTCACATGCAAAACTTTTTCACTCTGCAAGTCCTTGTTGAGTCTCGTCTGAAAACGTACGTATACGTAGCCACCATCAACATAACAACCTCTGGTTAGCGCACAGAAACCGTTGGGAGTAACTATCACATCTTTGTGTCTCTTTTTTTTTTTCTTTTTTTTTTGAGCCACTGGAGACAAATTGGCACCACACTGAGTGGTTTAGGGATGAAGAAGAAGGATTCAGGATGACACACAAAGTGGAAACATAAGAAGATAATGAGCAGAGGTGGAGGTTTGAGAGGAAAGGGTGTGGGCGGGTCACGGAAGTATAGTCGGGGCAGAGAGGGAAGGAGTAAGAGACAGTGAGAGGAGCAGAACAGAGAGAAACAGTCTGTCAGAAAAGACGCTGGGGCTGAGAGGGGGGGTCTTTATAATGGAATTTTTGGTACCTAAAATGTCATGGGTGCAGTGAGAAAAAAAATAAACGAATTATAATAACATACCTAAATGAAGCCAAAAAAGAAGAATTCAACAAGGTCATTTCAAAGTTAATAGAAATTCAGCTTGAATATTTCATAACTTCAGTCAGGATATAGTTGCTGGAACCAATTCAAATTTGGAATTGTCATATGGAAAATTTCAAGAAAACGAATTATTTTTAAAAAAAGAAAAAAGGACGCCAGTAAAATACATCGAGTTTGTTTCCAAACGTCGGTGCAGCTGTTGTCTTCAACAATATTAATCAGCCTACAGTCCCTCAGACTCCATTTGGCAATTGCGTCATTCAACTTATCAGTCGCAGAATAACTTACGGTCTGACCACAGTCTCACCTGCGTTGAGAAGGCAGTGCGTGCAAACGTGTGCTAAATGGATGGACGGCGGAATTACTGTATAGGATTCAAGTTCATAAGTGCTATGGTACTCACAGGTAAGTGGTAAGTGGATTCAGGTTGGACGGCACCGATGAAAGTCCAAGCTCGGAGCAGTCCACCATCAGGTAAATCCCATCCTCTTCACAGTGACACTGGGACGGACACAGGTACGTTGCTCCTACTGACAGTGACGCCGCTGACTCTCTCATCTGTCTGTCTTGGACCAATGTAGTTGCAACTCCGTGTTCAAAGTGGAGGAGCAGCAGCAGAAGGAGCAGCAGAGGAGGAGAAGAAGTCATGTCTAAGTGTCCACCTGTCAGCAGAATCTCCCTAAACTTTGGTTTTTCCGATTCTCTGTTTTGTTTTTCCTCTGGTTTTTCAGAGAAATTACACACACACAAAAAGATGGCTTCTCCTTTTCTCTCCTGTCTGTTTTTGTCTTCTGTATAGGTTGTGTCCTCACTGTGTTTCTGTCCTTCTTCCCCCCCCCCGCGCACGCTCTCTCTCTCTCTCTCTCTCTCTCTCTCTCTCTCTCTCTTTGCTTACCTATAGTTGTGGGGCTACATGTGTTACGGGTAGGCTGTTCTGATTGGTCCAGAGACGAGGGCTGGGTTAAAGCACCCCCTCCCGCCACTTTTGCCCAGAAACTGTTTCGAAGATAGCGCGGTTCTAATGGGGTTAAGGGAAAAGAAAACGAGAAGTACACGAGCGGGGCTTTGAAAATACAGTAATAAATGATGTAAAATAAGTGTAAGAGGTTGTTCAGTCCGGTTCGGTTCGGTTGGCTTAGTTGTTTTTTTTATGAACGCGGATAATATTACGGTTCTCGTAAAGATATAGAAAGTAGTGTTTAGTTTTATTTTGTGTGTGAGAGAGAGAGAGACACAGGGGTAGAGTAAGAGAGAGAGAGAAGGGGGTGCTGATTGCTTTTACGGAAATTGGAATTCTGACACTTCCGCACTCTTTTATCCCCGAAAGACCAGAATCCAGTGTCTTGTGACTCCCACCTTCTCAAGTTTCCACGGCTGGAATGTCATCAGTAGGAACACATACACACGTGTGTCTACGCATATGCTCCCATGTGTACACACATATACATACATACATACACACAGAATATGTCAAGGAAATATGACGATAAAGTCTTTACAATAATTTCACAATGTTGGGTTGGCCTGTTGTAAACATTTAATGTCACAACCGTAGCTTATTTCGTATAAACGTTTTAGCAATAAGAACAACAAATAAATGGTAACAGAAAACAAGGCATGTTTAAATGGATTACAGTTTGTGAAAAACATTTTTAAAAATACTTTTAACTTCAGGAAAACAACATTAAGATAATATAATTGTCCTTTTATTCCAGCATGAATCTGAAAAAGGAATCTCAAAACTATATCTTGGACCTAGTGATTTAAAGACACATAGGATACAACTGTATCAACATCAGCAGTATTAACAATATTTGGCCATTTCTTTGTGTTGTTCTGTCTCTGTTCTCATGTGTGTTGTGTTGTTCTTTATCGCTTTCTCTGTTTCTTTCTTTTTTCTACTTTATCTTTTCTTCTCTCTCTGTTTTTCTGCCCGTCTTTCTTCCTCTGTTAAGGATCTTGCGTCTTCCGTTCCCTGTGATTTCCTCTCTGTCCTTTGGCTCTGTCCTCTGAGAGTGTATTCATTAATTAATTAACATTCTTATGCTGCTGTGTTTTCTGAGGGCCCCTTGTTACGTCTTCATAGAAGCGCTTTCATTGCAGCGCTTTCGACATACCAACTGTCTTTTTGTCTTTTCTTTCTTCCACTTCTTTTCGATGAAAATGAAACGTCATTACTATTGTTATCCATGACCGTTTATGTATTGCTAATTTAATTGTATTATTATCATATTAAATAGTGTTTTCAAATAACAATATAATAATTGTTGGATTTTAGAGTGGTTTTGTGTGAGGAGGTCAGGAGTGGCTGAGAAGTATGTTAGTTTGGTGCAGGACATGTATGAAAATAGTACAACAGTGGTGACGTGTGTTGTTGGAAGGACAGAGGACTTCAAGGTGGAGGTGGGACTATATCAAGGATCGGCCCTGAGCCCCTTCTTGTTTGCTGTGGTGATGGACAGATGGACAGATGACATCAGACAGGAGTCCCTGTAGTGAGCGTAGGCAGCAGCTGGAAGAGAACCTAGAGAGGTGAAGGTTTGCACTACAGAGAAAAGGAATGAAGGTCAGTCGCAGCAAGACAGAGTACATGTGTGTAAACGAACGGCAGAACAGTGAAATAGTGAGGCTACAAGGAGCAGAGGTGGTGAAGGTGTAGGAGTTTAGGTACTTAGGATCAACTGTTCAGAGCAGAGGAGACTGTGAAAGAGAGGTGAAGAATAGAGTACAGGCAGGATGGAACAGCTGGAGAAAAGTGTCAGGAGTGGATCTGTGACAGAAGAGTGTCAGCTAAGGTGAAGGGAAAGGTTTACAGGACGGTGGTGAGACCAGCCATGATGTATGGTTTAGAGACGGGAGCAATAGGCAGAAGACAGGAGGCCGAGCTGGAGGTGGCTAGAGATTCTCTTTAGCAGTGACCAAGGATGGACATGATCAGGAATGGCTAGAGAAGCCAGATTGAGATGGTTTGGACATGTGCAGAGGAGGGACAGTGGATACATTGGTAGAAGAATGTTAGAGATGGAGCTACCAGGTAGGAGACAAAGAGGAAGGCCAAAGAGGAGATATATGGATGCAGTGAGGGAGGACATGCAGATAGTTGGAGTCAGAGTAGTGGCAACCCTTGAAAAAGGGACAAAGCCGAAAGGAAAAGAAGAAGATTGGTATATTATATTTGCGTACGTAGATGTGTACATAGTAAGATTCTCAGTCATCCAGGTCATGGTTAGGGTTGAAGAGTTCCGTTTCTTTAGAAGACCTTTCACCTATCATCCAAGATTTAAGTGTATATTGATAGTAAAGGAATTTGCAAATCAAGTTATAACATAAATTTGGCTATAAATTGAGTTTTACACTCCCCACCTACTGAGTGTGATCAGTTGCAACCCTACTATTTGTGTGGTGTTTTTATTTCTCTGTCTTTGTCTTTTTGTTCCAGCTGCACTGAATCCGGAGCTGACGAGTCAGAGCACTGGATCGGGTGGCCTCCAATTGAAGAAGGGCAGCATATAAGCTCCAGCACCACATGGATTGAGTCCCGAAGCTGCCCTGCTAATCCTGACTCTCCTGTTGTTTGGCTAACTTGGTGAGTCTTCTCATGCTTTAAAGTAATTCCTGTCTTTCGGGGGTTTTATTGCTCCAGATTATTTATTCCTGCCCACTGCCTTCGATCTTGCACACAAGAGTTTTTTTCACTAGGACTTTGCTACCACTACCATTTGTGAATAGAGCACCTTGCACCACCTGGAGATTCCTAACCCCCTCATTGGATCCTGAACCCTTCACCTCACAGAGACTATTTGCATCAGTTGTCTGCTTCTGTGGAATCAACCGATACAAAACCTTCTGTTCGATTTGAAACTTTTTTTTCCAGTAGTAAGTGTACATTTCTTGGTGGAAATATTTCAAAGCAACTAGGTGCTGGAAATGCAATTTATAGAATGCAGAGCTGCTGTAATGTAAGTTACAGATGTTGGTAGTACAAGCTTAGCTTAGCCCAGTGGGGCTAAGTTGGGAACCCCTGGCTTAGCCAAACTAGATTTCTTTTTGTTATTGTTCAATAATGTTACTATACTGTGCCACTTTTTTTTAATTTTTTCTCACAGGATGTTAGCTGTTATGAGCCATGCATGTTTTTCTTATACAAATAACAACATAAAGGTATATAAAAGTATAGCCCATTTATAGACGGCGCTGTAGGCGTGACCATGGGCGTGGTTTGGGAGAAGATTGTGCGGCATCTTTCTTTCTTCCTTCTGTGTAGTGTGTTTTATTCCCAGGTGGGCTGAGTTGCTCTCAGGTTAGTGTCAGGTGTCAGGTAGCTACTTGCCTTTGTATCTTCAAGGTTCTGCCATTGCTTGGATAGTGTTTACAGCTCAGAAAGGCGGTGGGGGGTGGGGCGGGGGTGAGACGGACGACGCTGCCTTTGATCTGATGCAGACTGTCTGATAGCGTGCATGTGAGCGTGTGAGAAAGAGTCGGAGAAAAGAAAAGGACACGCATACCTTTTCAGAAGCGTGTTCAAGTCTGTACACTTACCACAAACTGTGTGTGTGTGTGTGTGTGTGTGTTTAATGTTTTGTCTTACACACGCAGCCAGGATAAGTCTTTGAAGAGATACACAATGTGGTTAAAAAAAAAAGGAATAAAAAAATATCAAAGTAATTCACGACACTTGGATAATTAGATAATTATCGATGTGTTGTAATGTGTTTTTGCTTTTTCAACCATTAGTTTGAGTGAGAAATAAAGATTCCCTTCGTACTGTAAACAAAAGCCCTGTTTTTTAAAAGTACGTATAGTACCAGAAACATTTACTACTAGGAACTTCTTACATTAATACTTAATAATTCTTCTCTGCAAAACATCTTCTAAACGGTTCCACAAAGTTCCCAGCAACCGTGGTATATGTCCCCACAGGTAGGTAGAACCGAGAAAAAGTACCTGGAATTCATCCAGGTACTCTTCAGTCAGAATTCTTCTTCGGCGCAAAGTCCATTGTTCATAGACAAATTACATTTTAGAGGTCTGGATATGCGTCATTTGTTTCGAGGATTTTCGCGAATGTTCTGTTGTCTATGTTCTACACCACTGTTCCCGCTTGGCCCCTTGAAAACACAATGGGATACAGTGAAAATGAGTGGACACTGAAGCGATACAATTATTTTTTTAAAAATTAATTATTTTGGTAACATTTTGTGACTGTTAATTTCTCACTGGCAGCCGCTAGAGGGCACTCTAGGATCGTGTACCAGTGTCGGCTACTCCTAGAGGGCACTCTAGGATTGTGTACCACTGTCGGCTACTGGAATGTACCACTGGAAATTTACATGTTGGTTATTTTCACACTGACAGCCACTAGGGGGCACTGGTGCGACTTATACTCCAGAGCAACTCATAGTCCAAAACAAACGGTAGTTGTCTAAAAGACACGTTTTAGGCACAAGCTAACACTAACTTCATCTCCCTGAATGACTGTTGCCTAGCTCGAACAGTTCTGTCAGTGAAGAAAAACTAAGGGGGGGAAAAAAAAAAAGCAAGCACACAGGGCTCTGAATCTAAAGACGGCCTCTCAATCTGCAAGCCCATCTGAGCCTTGAAGACACCTTCTGATCTCATCTATAGTAAAGACAAAGTAACGAGCTAACCGAGATGAAAAACAGTAAATACTGTGTCATTATGGGCTCCATCATTAGAGGTCACCATTGGTCATCTGCTGCTTGGATCC